TTCCGTACGTTGTGGGGGAGGAGCGCTGCCGGCAGCACCCGTTTGTGCCCCCCGCAGCACCTGCTTCCTCCGCCACTCGTAGCCTCCCACGCGAGGCGGAGGCTGGCGGTGACGGGGGCGGCAGTAAGTCGACAAAGCAGGTGGGATTACTTGCACCGACTCCGCCAGAGCCGCACGCCACAACAGTTGTTGAGGCGCCACCGCAGACGGAAACCGTTTTAAGTGGTGGGGCGGCGCGGTGCGTCGTGAGCGGCGGGGAGCAGCAGCCACCGCAGCCACCGGGGGATGTGCGAGCGACGGCTGTGGTGAAGGCGCTGGCAGGGGGTGGGCCACCAACGCCGCCCCGCGCACCAACGCCTGGGCAGGGGGCGGCTGGAGCCAACGCCCCATCCTCCTCGGACAGCCCCTCCGAGGCGGCGCTGCCTCACCGTTCATTGCTTGTCAGGGAAAACACAGGCGGTGGCGCCACGACGCGCTCTCTGGTGGTTGGAGAAGCAAAGGAGGAGGAATACAATCTCCCGGCGACACGGCTACCGCCGACTAATTTGCCTTCGCCGGCGGAAAAACCATCTAGAGCGAATGAAAAGGTGCATCCAGCCGCATTTAAACCATCTGCTTTTTCGGCTGCACAGGAGTTAAAGGAAAATGCTGCGCCACCTGCGTGCAGTCCGGGGATGCTATCGGTGCCTCCGCCTCCAGAGAAGAAGCAGGACGCGGCCGAGGTGTCACATAAGCCACCATGCCATATCTCCGCATGTAAAGAAGTGGAGTTGGTGGCTGCCCCTTCTGTTGACACTCACCCAGCCTCTCTCGAGAACCCAAACTTTGCTGTTGTGCATCGCGAGCTGGAGACTGAACGACGAAGTCTGGAGATGCTGGAGACGCTTCTTGAAGAGGTCCGTCACGCGGGTATGGGCTTGCTTGAGAGCCAGACCCCGCCAACGGAGGAAGATGCAAAACAAATGCCATTAGAGGAGATGAGGAAGCCTACGTCGGCGGATGGCGTGCAGCAGGCGGCGAAGAAGTCGTCGCACACAGGGTTGTTTCCAAAGGCTCCCTCACCCTCTTTGATTGCGCAGAACCCGCCGGCCGACGGAATTGGGTCGTTGCGTCTTTCAGCCACGCAACCTGCCGCCGCAAGGCGGGACTCCGCTCCGTTGGGTCCTTTATTTGAGCAGCCTCATGCCGGGCAGGCGGCTTGCGGGCAGGGGAGCGGCGAAGGCAGTGGGCTGTTGGTGAAACTTCTTGAGGAGCGATGGCGACAGTTCGAGGCGAAATCTACGCAACAACGGGGTTCGGCGGGGCCCCGGTCTTATGAAGCAGGGCAACGTTCGGTGAACCGCTCGCCGATGTACCACAACTCTCTTACAGACTCAGCTGTGAGGACCTCTTGGGGCAACTTGCAGGACGGCAGCGGCGGCAACAAGCCAAACTTGTTGCCGTCGCTTGTAAGGGGGCTGTCGCAGGACGGCAACACCACGCAGCAGCCGTCGTACGACTATAAGCGGCGGCCGTGGGGGCGCTACACTATTCTTCGAGACTTTCCAACAAGCGCGACAGTGCAGCGGCGCCTTTCAAGCGCACCGGGAAACTCACATCGTGATGACGAGGGCCACACACTTTTTCCCACGATCAGCTCGTGCTCATTTCAAGGTCAATCCCAACTCTCGGTAGAAGATGCCGAGTGGGAGGAGGTTTCTAATGCCAACATGGGGCTGAGTCAGAAGTACGCGTGGCTGTGCCGTCGGGCGGGTATTAAGCCTAACAGCATGTTGGTGCATGCACTCCCTGACGAACCGGGCGCCTCCGTGAGACGCATTGACAGCTCCATGAACTACATCGGCCCCAAGGGCCTTATGCCCCTCCTGAAGGTGCTGCAGAGTAACGTTGGGCTGGAGTACCTTAACCTCAGTCGCAATAACCTGGAGAACGACGAGGCGATCCAGCTTGTGAGGCTACTCATGACGGGCAGTGGGGCGACCCTGCAATTTCTAGACCTCTCCAATAATCCCATTTCCCTTGCGGGGGGTGCGGCGCTTCTGCAACTTGTGCAAGCGAGACCCACTTTGCACTCCGTCCGGCTGTGGGGAACGCTTATCCCGCAGCAGGTGAGCCGCAGCATTCAAGAGGTGTGCGACTCCAATCGCACTGACAAGCTGTAAACATCTCACACTTCTTCCCGAAGAGGAGTAGAACATTGGAGGCTGCGGCAGCGAAGAGAAGGAAACAAAACCAAGGATGAAATTATCCGCAGGCATACATGTTATTGTGTTGATGTGCTTACTTTTTAACATAAACTCTTCACCTCGTCTCTTCGTCCAGCCGTCGTTCTTTTTTATATATTTTCTCCTCTCTTTTTACCCCTTTTTTCGCCATGGAAAGGAGTTTCGTGGCTCCAATTTCCTGCCTGTGATGGCAGGGCCGTGCGTCGGCGCCATCGCGTCTGTATGTATCTGCAATTAGTTTTTGTTTGTTTGTGTCATGCAAATACGAACGACCGAAATGTATCGAAAACAAGTGCTGAGACAAAGAGGGAGTGTGAAAGGGAGGTATAAACATCAATGAACCCAACACCGTTTTTGTTTGTTTTGTTTTTTGTTTGCCTGTTTTATGGAGTCTGTTTTAGAGTGCATGCGTGTTTGAATGGGGTGGGCCTCCATCGGTTTCTCCGTTGCAGTGAGCACCGTTGGACGGCGTGATTTTTTTTTTTTTGTGTGTGTCACTTAGAGCGGAAGGCGTTGGGGCTGGGCGCTGAGCGACGGCCCTCGAGGAAGAGAAAGGGAAGGAGAAGAGAAGAGAAACTCCCTCCTCTCTCCCCGCCCTGCTATTCTCTTCTTTTTATATTTATATATTTGAAACGCCTCTTACTTCATCTGCCGCTTTATTTTTTGTTTTTTGTTTCTGTTGGTGGTGCTGCTGCCGCCTTGCATCGCTGCCGTATTTTCGTTGTTTCGTCTGTGTTTATGTGTCCGCGTTGCCTGCTCTGAGGGGCAGCCGCTTTTGGTGGAAGCGAAGGGGGAGAGGAAGCAGGGCGGCGGGTAGAAGATGCTGCCCGGGCGACAGGGTAGTGAGCGCGCAAACTTTGTGGTTGCTGTCCGCTGCCGACGCCTCGATGCCCGCGA